TAGACGTAAGTAACGTTAAGTAGTAGTACTTAATAATTAAGTTAGTAGTAGTAGTATTATTTAGTTATTATATACTATATATATATATATATATATATATATATATATATATATGAAAGATACTATAAACTACTTATAGGCGAAAATAAATAGTGATTTCGCCTACCTTCATCACCATCCAAATTTCATCGCACGGTCACATTTGTCCGATAGTGTTTCAGTTTTTCATTTTTATTTTACTAATCGGAATAATCTGAAATTTGAAAATTTCGGGGGTATTTTGGTTAATTTATATTTTGTGAGTTATTTTTTTCATATTTTTATTAAGTACGTCTCACTAAGATGTACACATGCTCCAAATTTCAAGTAATTTGAATATGTAAAAATAAAAATAAAAATTGAAACACTACCGGACAACTATGACCGTGCGATAAATTTGGATGGTGATGAGGGTAGGTGAAATCGCTGTTTATTTTCGCCTATAGGCCTTGGGAAGAGTTTTCTTATATGCATGGAAGTTACTACGTTGGGAAGAGTTTTCCTATATATATATAGAAGATACTGCAAAACGCTTACATGCGAAAATGAGCAGTGATTTCGCCTACCCTCATCACCATCCAAACTGCATCGCACTGTAACAGTTGTCCGGTAGTATTTCGATTTTCATTTTTTTTTTACTAATCGAAATGATCTGAAAATTAGAGTGTGTGTACATCTTGGTGAGACGCACCTAATGAAAATATAGAAAAAAAAATAATTCATAAAATATAAATTAACCAAAATATTCCTTAAAATTTTCGAAAGTATTTTGGTCAATTTATATATGTATATTAAATCCATAATTGTTGTGGTCTAAAAATGCCTTATTTGAAAGAACTCTTGATGCCCAAACTGTATTTTTCGGTCAGATACGAAATGCCGTTTACAAAGACAACCATACAATTTGTTTTCCCATTCGCTCTCTTCATTTTTATCTTACAACGAGTTTAAAGAACTGACTCCAAGATGATTTATTATCGTTCAATTTATAATTTGAAGGCAAAACATCATTCAGAGGATCAAATCGAAATCATTAAGGTGGTTGAATGATCCAATTTAATGTTATGTTGATTACTTTTTGACCTTTAATTTTATTCAGGTACCTCCTTTAATAATAGGTTGTGTTGTTTATAAGGTTGCAATATTAAACAATCCAAATTAAGGTGCACTCTTAACATGTAATTTTAGTAAAAAAATTAAGGAAACTTACGTAAATATCTGTTTTAATTTTCGTTATTAGTAAAATACCAAATATTTTCCGTTATTATTGATACGTTCGTTTTTTTTAACTTCATAACAAATTTTTTTAAAAAAGATGAAACTACCCATTTTCAGTTATTCAAAAACTAAAATCAAACCAATTGCGATTGTTGAGGAACCAAAAATTTAAAATTTTCAAATTTTTTGTCGCTTGTGGCCCTCTGTGTATTCTCTCTCTACCTCTCTCTCTCTATTTATATGGGTAAAATTGTTTTTTTGTTTTTTAACTCTCTCTCCTTCACCCATAGTCTTTTTTTTGGGTAAGTTTCCGGTAATTTGGGCTGGTCTGGATATTCCCATAGTTCAAAGAGCTTCACCCATAGTCTTTTTTTTTGGGAAAGTTTCACCCAGCTTGAGAGAGGAATTTGGCTTGGTCTGGATATTCCTATAGCTCAAAGAGCTTGAATTAAAGAAAGATCTTTTATCTGGATATTCCCATAGCTCAAAGAACTTGAATTAAAGAGATCTCTTCTTGAAAATAGGACATCATGGGCTGAGTCATCAACTTTCCATTCTCCTATGATGTAGGGATCAAACTAGTTGCTGCCTTTGATTTTATGAGATAACTATGACGTCAGAGAGGTCCTTTGATTTTATGAGATAACTATGTCAGAGAGGTAGAGAGAGAATAGGCCACAAAAGAGAGAAAACGCCACAAGCGAGGTAGAGAGAGAATACGCCACAAGATTTTTCTTAATCTTTTAGTCTCATAATCCCTGATATTTTTCTTAAATTAAGGGGCTCAAACTAATTGTTCCCCTTGATTTTATAGGATAACCATGACTGACTTCAGAGAGGTACAGAGAGAATACACCACAATATTTTTTCTAATCTTCTAATCTCATAATCCTTGATATTTCTCCTAAATTTAGGGTCAGAGAGGTACAGAGAGAATACACCACAATATTTTTTCTAATCTTCTAATCTCATAATCCTTGATATTTCTCCTAAATTTAGGGGATCAAAGTAGTTGTTTCTCATTGATTTTATCGGATAACTATGACTTCAAAACGACAGAGAGAATATAGTGAAAATATTTTTTCGTTCTTAAAGATTAAATTTTCAGTTTTTCAAAAAACTGGTTTGATTTCGGTTTTCGAAAAACCAAAAATAAGTAGTTACGCCTTTTTTTAAAAAAATTGTTATGAAGTCTAAAAAACGAACATATTAGTAATAACGGAAACTAAAACGAACATTTACATAACTTTTCGAAAAAATGATTAGGATTATCTCAAAATCTATTTTCATATCTAATTATAAAATTTTAAACTCGAAAAATAGTTAAAATCAAGTAGATCTATAACATATGAAAATCTTGAAAATAGTCGGTCTAGATAATGTATTGCAAGATGCACTATTTCTGGGGCTCAAAATCTTTTTATTTTTTTTCATATTCATACATCGAGATGATCAATTAATGGTTTTGTCAACATTAAAACAACATTTTCCGATGGATTTTTGAGGTACATATGTAATTGTACATTTTAAGGTTGCAACCTTATATAAACTTTATTTTACATTTTAAGGTTGCAACCTTATATAAACTTTCTCCTTAATTAATATAGTAAGAAAATATCAAATTATAACTTATTCTCGATTGAAACCTTGACTAAGCTGACAGGTAATTTATCTGTCCAGACAAATGGGAATAATGCTTCTAGTAGTTTCGGATTAAGAATACTTAACTATGGTATACAATTAAAAAACCACGTGTTACTAACCACGAACCACTAGAAGCATTATCATCATTTAACGGTTTATTGTTGCTAATCCTAAACAATAAGGAGTACTATTGTCCTTTGGCCCTCTTTGGCTCGACCCATAATCGAGCCAAATTATCAACATGATTCTACTTAATCAGGTTCTCAATCATGAAAAGAGACAATTTGATCATGTTTTAACATATCTCTTGATATATACTTTTCGAAGAAACACCCGATTAAAAAGAAAATAAAAAAATAACCAGTGCACACCGAATCATTTGACACCCTAACTACTTCATGAGGCGATTGACCCTTGAATTAAAAATCACGTATTCAATCCTAGAGAAAACCATCCATAGGTATAACAAGCAGCCCAAAGCTAACTGTCCTCTAAGACGTATTAGGAAAAGAACACGATCGTGGGAATGTTGAAAAGGAGGTTTATCTTCCTTTACTTGTTGAAGGTAGTTTCATTCATGGAAAACTGAGAGAAAAGGCTGTAAAATGATGGCTATGAAGTGGGCAGAGGTGATCCGGTGATGAAAGCTCGAAATAAGGTGAGAGCTTGAGATGGGGAAGTGAATGGGACCTCGTGTGCTGCACCCCTCACCGTTGCAAACGTCAGGAGAGTGCGGTTCCCTCTCCCAAATGCTTGAACCCATCCTCCAACCTTCACACCAATGCATACATATTAGAATTGAAACTAAACTCCAGATATTGTTGATCGAGCGAACAGAACCCAGGGATTGTTAAGAGAGAGAGTATTACCTGTTTCTTATCATACCAAGGAGCATACTTGGTTATGGGGGAAAGCTTTAATCTTTTGGCCAGTTGATTGGCAATGATCCTTGTTTGGGTCAAGGGGATCTTTGAATCTTGGTCCCCACTAATCACAAATTTCCCATTTAAAAACAGAAAATAAAGACATGCCCCGTATTAATGAATGCATTACACTAAGCTATTTATGGGTTGGCTTGATCAAACCTGTACAGAAAGATGGGTATATCCTCCTTAAGAAGGCTAAGTATAAGTGGTCTAATGTCGATCTCAGAATTGTCATCTTGGTATACCAGAGGCCTGAATCACAGCACAATTTCCCATGAGAGAGAGAGAGAGGGAGAGAGAGAGAGCAAACAAAAGTCCCAATGAAGAAAGATACTCAAAATATGAAATGAGAGAGAGAGGAGTCACCCAGAACAACTGTCCCAATTATAAGGCAGCCCAGTGGCATTGGCATGAAATGCCCTCTGAACATCTGCCCTGTTCAGGTACTTGAATATTCTCTCCCAGCTGCACAAATCACCACTACCCATTCTACTCAAAGAGATCTGCCAATCCCAAGTAAAGGAATTCAACCATTCTCTTTATTCAACAAACCAAATCACACTCTTAAAAAGAAGAAAAACACAGCCACAAAAACCACAAATTTTCCCCTACCTTTGCATGAATCTTTCCATTAAGTCCCCTGGAAACTGCTTGCATTGAAGGCACTGAAGTTAGGCACTTAGGCAAGAGGATGTCTCCTTCATCTACATTGACCCCCATCTCCTCAGCCACCATCTTGAATGTGTAGATGCAGGGCTCTGAATATTCTCCACGATAAAAGGCCCTCATGTAACTCGAATCATTGCATAGTGTCTTCTCGAGCTCGAATGTCTGATCGGAGATGAGTCCATGTGCCCACAAGTACTCCCCACTGTTCACACTTATATCCATGTCCACAAATGGATTACCAAGCTGTCAAAGTTAAATACCACAAGTAAGTTTAAGAGGATTATAGGCTCCTTAAAGAAAAAGCTAATCAGTACTAATTTTTTTAAGGCATACAGCAATGGCCTTGAGCTTGATGGCTCCTGTCGTGTGTTTCTTGTTGTAGGCCATCAAGAGCGCTGCAAGCTGTGGTATGTAGTGCCCTGTTGAAGCAACAAGCTGTTTGATGCTATATTTGCTATATACAAAATGAAATTACTTGAACTTCAAAACAGTCTCTTTGGATTTCAATCCAAAAACTTCTCTTTTGCACATTTCAAGCCCTTAGTAAGAAAAAATTATGTAATCCAAACACTGATTTTGAAAATAACTACCTTGTCTGAAAACTAAAAGTTTTGTAATTCAAACACTGATTTTGAAAATAATTACCTTGTCTAAAAAATAAAAATTTTGTAATTCAAAGTTTCAAACACTGATTTTGATAATAAATACCTTGTCTGAAGTTTTTTAATAAATGCCTTTTTTCTATTAGTAATAGTTTGTTGAGGCATGCTTGGTGAGTTACCTGCATAGCTCTCCCCTGTCAAGTAAAGATCAGAGCCTCTGTAGGCTGGAAACTTCTCAAACCAGTTTATGAGGAATCTCAGGTTGTCCTCGGCTGAAATTCAAAAACAAGAGAGATGATGCTGTACAAGTCCTCTTGAATTTGAGATTATTTCTTCTTCTTTTTAAGTCTTAATAAACTAAGGTAACAACAGGGAACCCAAGGTGGAGAAGGTTAGTTGGTCATACCAGTTTTAGTGTCATTCCAATTGATATAATCAGAGCTTGTATTTGAATAAGAAAACCCAACTCCAATTGGGCTCTCCACATATAGCATATTAGACGCTGTCCACAACAGATAACATGAAAGTTTCAATCGCTAGAGCATCCTCAAATCTTATATATGAGTACTTATTAAGAAACTCACCCAAATTCCATGAATATTTGTTGTTAACCAAGCTAGAATTATCATGAACAAGATAGGGGCCATGTTCCATGAGTGCTCCAATTCCAAGAGATGAACATCCAGGGCCTGTACAGCGCAAGTTCTCAACTTAAAGCCAAATGGAGAGAGAGAGAGAGAGAGAGAGAGAGAGAGAGAGAGAGACGACCTACTATAGACGACGAGTAGTAGTTAGTGGTACGAGACGGTCGTGTAGTAGGTGGGTCGGTCCGGTCCGTACGAAACGTAAAGTAAGTAAGGAAGGAC